GGCTTCAGCTACCAAGCCACCATCCTCACTTATTCTGGGCAACCCTTCTGGCTCACATTCCAGTTGCTCACGCAAACTGGAACCCACGCTGCTGCATCCTCAAGCATTCTATTTTCTTTCCTATCTTTACACCTCTGCTGCTAGGTCAAAGCCAGAGCAGGCAATGCCTTTTGGTGCTGAAACATACCTTTGTGTTCTTACACTGAAACACATTGTTACAAACTCAATTAAGTCAGGAAATGCAGGTACAACAGCCCAACCATAAACAGAACTGTAAATCAGCCCCTGTAATCAACCTTGTATTCAGAATTATAGAACAGTTAGGAAAACACTTCTTTATTTCCCATCTAGTCTGGCTTGAAACTACAGTTCCACACAGAGTGGGGACCCTCCAGCCCCAGCATAAAGGCTGGAGCATGGAGGTGGCCTCTCACAGGCAGATGAAAACCAGACGGGCTATGGAGCCACTTGGGATGGGCCAAGGTATGCAAAACTGGAGCTGGAGCAGCAGTAGCAGAGAGAAAAAAAAACATTAAGGGAAAGGCACAACCTGCAAATCTGATTAATGTTCCTGCTCCCATTAATAGCACTGCAAAGAGATTTCTTTCTGTGGAAACAACATGGGTAGAAACAAAGGAAGTTAAGAATCAATTTAGGGATTTTGCAGTGTGGTTTCAACCATCCTCTGCTACACCTTACTGCTTAATGATCTCCAGCACTGCTAGAATAACAGACAAAAACAGAAGTCTGTAAGTAGATCGCAGCAAATTCCTTGTTGTTACACTTTAATTCACCTGCAAATCCTTACACCTGGTACAAAACTGAAAAACTCCAACACAATAACTACCACACACACACACACACACACACACACACACACACACACACACACACACACACTAATCACTTAACAGCTGCAAAGGGAAGAATGTTTTTCAGCCTCTTAAAATGAGAAGTCGTATACATCCAAAAAAGATGCATGGTATAAAATTTGACTCTTTGGAAGTCAAAGGCAGAAGACAGAGAGATCAGTTGAGGATTTCACCAAGAAGCAGATATAATACTCCCATGATGTCAGGCGAAGCGGATGCGATGGGTTATACTTAAGTATTCCAGCAGAAAGACACGCTGTAGTTAAAGAATAATACTCCCCTGAATATACACTTGCTACTCAGTAGTAATAGAGCTGAGTTTAAAAAAGGAAAATAAAAATAAACCAGTAACAAAAGAAGAGGGTATCAAATGCATTTTTTTCTGCCCAGGAACCAAACTGGACAGGAAACAGCCTGTTAGGAACTCTACTCAGAAAGAAGGCGTCCAAGAAGCCAGCCAGCCCTCTCCTCAGACAGGCAGCACCAAGGGACCTGCACACCCATAAGCTCGTGCGCATCCAGGAAGACCCACTGATTGAACCTCACTGTATCTCAGTTACTCCTGGTGATACCTATCATACGGCTCTACGCATTCACATCCAAAAGCAGCATTTCCTTTAGGTCTGCATGGGAAGCGAGAGGGGCAGAGGAGTTCAGCTCAGGCAAAGCTGTTAAAAGCTTTTTTGTCTTGGCAAGTATAACTTTATCAAGCAAACTTCATTACATATGATTACCACCACTGGAAATCCTGCACACTTTAGCACTTGTAAGACCTCTAGGTGTTGGCAAGGAAACACAGAAGGATGCACAAGATTAAAACCAGAACTGTAAGTTGAAAATTGCTTTTTGAGTCCCTTGCATACTTTTTTTCCTTTGTTTAGCTGATCCAGAGCTGCAATCCACAAGGGAAAAAAAAGAAGTGTCGGCATTTTCTTTGCAGGCTTAATTTCCCTTTATGGTATCCTTCCTTTTATTCAGCTGTTCCACAGGAGTTACTTTTAGGTCCAGAGCAAGCCAAAACCTATAAACTCTGCCCAAAACTACACTTCTAAAGCCAAGCAGTGCCAGAATTCAGCTTTTATTTCTATGACAACTGCACTTTTCTCAGTTTGTTGTTGGTTTTTTTTCATTTCTTTTAAAGCTTGCCTTCACATTGAAGTACTTGATGGAAATAGAAAAGTGTTTCCAAAGAGGATACATTTCATCCCCAGGCCTTTCTTCACCAATCCACCAAATTAGGTAACTCATTATGAGGAATTAACAAGAAAGGCATGGTCAGCTAGAGGTCTGGGTTAAAACGAAAGACATCTGGAATCCGTTTTGTTCTTCTAGAAGTAGCCTGAATTTCCCCCCAGGCATCAGTACCTCCAGACACTGCTTTATTAAAAATAGTACAGATCAATTCCTTATAATTCTTTACCTTCCATCAAGCATATTCTGAAATGGCACAGTGTCAGAAGCAGGTCCTCAGGAAGCCCCACTCTAGATGTTTCTGTTGGCAAGTCAGGGAGGCCAGTAACCATGGTAGGACCTGGACATCAGAGATCCCAACAGGTAAGGTGGGAGATGGTGGCACTGCTACTCGCTACAGCAAGGAGGCTGAGAGTCGTAAACTGAGGTGTAACCGTCCCCCACGCCAGACCACAACATGTAATGGGGAAAATCCTGTTAAATACAGAATCTCCTCTGGAAAGATTGGTTTGTTTTGATACTTACAAATATTTTCATAACTCATCCGTGAAATAGAAAATACAAAAGAAAAAATTTTCTGTAGAAGAAATCTAGCTTTGTATGGTGGGAGCATTTAAAAAACCCTGCAGTATTTGCAACCAACACATAGCATTTTTGACACTAGAGAGAACAAAACAATCTATCTGATGTTGCTGCCTAAATTAGCTGGAAAGAGAAAAGGTGGCAAGTGGATTTTAATTTCAAGCTAATGATTCACAAGTTACAGCCCCCAGCCAGATCCAGCCACCCAGAAAAGTTACTTATTTTGGGCTCCATAGTATGTACCCTCTTTGACAGCGTCACCTTTACTTAGCAGTCCATGAAACAAGCAAGACAAATACATTCTGCTTATTGCTAGAAAATCCTTGGGGATCATAAGATCATCAAATAACTTGAGTTGGAAGGCACCCATAAAGATCATTGAGTCTTAAGGTCACAAATACTTCCAAATCTTTCATTTTGTCTTCTACAAAAACTTGGTTCAAACATTCACATCATTGTATCTATCTGTGACACACACACTTGAGATTATTTTTCCATTTCCAAAGAGATAAATTCTGTAGATGACTACTTCCCACCTCACCTGAAAGTGCTCATCTGTGTCTTTAAGCCCAAAAAGCCCTTCCACCCCAAATAATGAAGCTAAACCTTTACATTCAATTCTTTCACCACTGTTGCTTCTCCTATCACTCCAGCTGTACTTTCCTCAGAGCTGCAGCATGATGCTCAGGTCTGGAAGAGCTTAGAAATACTTATTTTTTAACACAGGGGGTTGGGGTTGTTTTTTTTCCAGTACACGTAAAAACACCATGCTGGAATGATCCTTCTTACAAAACACTAGTTCTAGATTAAAAACTGACTGATGAACAGCTCTTTGTAATTTATAAATTTTTGAGGTCAAAAGACTGCAGTATTTTATGAGGCAGTTTCGGTAGTCACCAAAAACCAATGAGCTACAGATATTTTTATTATTATTATTATTATTATTATTATTATTATTATTATTATTATTATTAAGCAATTTTAGCCATTCTCATGAAGTTTCCATGATGGAAAATTCACTTTAGGCCCAATGTTGCTAAAAAGTAAATAAAGGCAAAAAAACACTGCAGCTGAAAGAAATGCCTGAAAGAGCTGGGAAACCAGTCACAATTTCTAGTAGGCTTCAGAGGCTATGGGGGCACTTAGCATTTAAGTTGAGACAAATGTTTCAAGAATCTTAAGGAATACAGAACATAATGGCAGTAATTTACATTTTGGAGTTAAAAGAGAGAAGGCATGCATGTTACACAGAGGAGAAAACGCAAAGACAGAATTACTTCAACAGCTATGAAAATCCCTTGGGAAAACAGTATTTCAGTTTGAATGTGTTTCTTCCTATTTCTTTCCCCTTCTGGAAAGCATTACTACTTTTTTCTTTTTAACAAGTATACATATATAATATACACGTATGAACTGCATTTAAAATTGTTCAATAAAATTACTACATTAAAGAAACCACACACATTTCCAAGCAAATCAAGACAGACAGACAGACCCTGTTCTCACAAACCAGAAATACTGCCAGATACACAGGACTGCCCAAAGTCACAGAACAAAGAGAACTCACGCAGATGAGCAACATGTGGCGAACCTTTAATCAGCCTTTTTTTTCTATGTGTGCTAACACCAGCAAAAGCCAACACAGGAATGTCAATATTTCACAGAGCAGAACAAAAACCAGCCCTGACAGCACAGGGGCATCTCACAGTGCCAGCAAATTGCAGCACCGCACAAGCCAAAGAAGGAACACCTCTGAAAATCAGAAACATAAAAGTGTCTTGGACAATGCATTCAGATCCTTTGGGATCATGGGGCGGGGTTAAAAAAAAGGGGGGGGAGACCATTTCTATTATAATTCAAACAAACTCATGACAGGCAGTCATCTCGTACATAGCAGAGTGCCTAGAGAAGATGTTTACTGAGACACAGAAAAGACCTGGCTTGCCAGAAGAATTTTTTCAGCTCTCCTTCTCCCAAAGGAGGACACCAGGATTCTCTCAAGATAAAAGAAGTGACAGGCTACATTCTCTTTCCTAAGGGTCTTGCCATCCCTCACCTGTGGTGTGATGGGACACACACCCACAGTACACAGGCACTATTCAGGCTTATAAACTGGAGAGATACTGGGGACTGATGTCTTCCCTTTGTCTGTGACAAAGGTTTATCTATCCTGCCATCTGGCTGGATCCACTTACACAGATGCAAAAATGCAGCCCTTCATCTTCTTTACACTGGGCGGTGGAGCACCTAACATATAGACAATGGAGCACCTACATTTAGGCTTAAGGGATGCTACCCTTACTACAAATTGAAAGGCAGGCCTCGGAGGGAAGAAGGCCACTCGAAGAAGGCCACTCGTGTCCCCCTAAACACAGCAGTGGCATGCAGAAGCTCATGGATCATTGACTCAAGTCTCAGGTCTAGATTTGGCACGCACGAAGTGGTTTACTGAATCCACCGGAGAAGAACCAGGCTTGTTTCACTGGGCTCAACAAAGAACAATCTGCAAGTAGGTATGCAGCTATGCTTGTCACCTCTCTGCATCAACACATACACCACAGAGAGCCAAGAGGCATGCTTCTAATATGGGTTATGCAGGGAAGTGGATTTAGAAGAGATAAATTTTCCTGCTTCCCCAAAGCCTAGAGAAAAATGGGGGCTGGGAAAACTACTTCACAGATTTAAAAAATTTAAACCCACCAAAAAATCAAAATAAATGGCAGTGCAAGGGAGGATAGTATCTGTAGTCAAACATGAATCAAACTGGCCACAATGACAGAAATATTTCATAAAGCCACTACCAGAACTTTTACTGTACTTTAAAAAATTTTCCTAAGGGCAAGGCTTTGTTCAGTTTTTGTTCATTAGATTTCTGCAGTTTCTACCCTACATTGGGATATTTGACGCTATAAATTGCTCTAACCCAAACACATGCATCAGCCCTGCATCTGAATCCTGAGAGGAGCTGCAAGATCAACAGCCTAAATCATTTCTTGTGCTGCGGCTTTGTTCTCTCCTTTTACCTCTGATCTGGCAAATAAAATTCTGTTTAACCTAAGAGTTGATACTGCTGCTGATTTGCATGTACTTACTACAGATGCCTGTGTGGATTGTCTGAGAATGAACATTTTTCACAGTGAGCTGATGAAGATTACAGTAATTTACTTGATAAATGCACAAACATAAACTCTAAAAAATATTTAAAAGCACATTTCACTGTCAAAAAACCTTTGTATTCTTTAGATTCTAATCTATGTATTTAAACATTAAGGAGACCTGCATTTTCAGACTCATAACATTTTCATCTTCCTCCTTCCCTCTGCACACTCTCAGCCATACTAGATTCCTCGGCGAGAGCTTCCGCTGCCCATTAACAGCTCAGAGCACAAGTTACCACAGCCGTGTTGGATGGCCCCAAATCCAGAAACAGAGCTTAAAAAAACAAACAAAAACCAGGGAACCTGATTAAGATAAAATGACTTAATGTGCATGTTGAGCTTTTGTTTGTCTATTTTAATGAACAGTGCATTGTAGGGTATAAAGACTGATTTATAAAGAGCCATGGATGTTCCTGCACAGAAGGCAATCAGTTCCCAGCTTAATTATGCACCGTGAAAATAAAATTCTCTTTAACCATTTTGAAACTGCTTTTTAGTTTAGCTTAAATGCCTCCTTGCCTCCCGTTTGCCCCTGCCCTGGTTACAGGATTGTGTCAGAAGCCTTGCTGGAGCCACAAGAGAAGCAGGACAACCTATTGTACGGCAAGGTTAAATACAGCAGCATTCCATTTACTTCTTCTGTACAGCTTATTATGCTGCACACTTCTGCCATTTAATTTCTACCCATACGTAAGTGGCTTATACATTCCTTCATTAAACCCACCTGCCAACACCTCGCAAACATTTTACCTTTTTATCTTGGCCTCTTCAATTCCAGCCCACTTTAAAAACAACAAAAAAACAAACAAAATATAAGCCTATAACAAAATAAATAAAAAAAAACAAAACACATTTTCTAGCCCTCTGTTCAATGCATGATTCATTTTTGGACAGCTTTTTATTCCATCAGTACTCGGAGAAGAGCAAAATTAAACCTTTTCAGAGCTGACCTCAGCCCACCAAATTCTATCAGAACAAGAGAGAAGTTTCATAATTGTGTTTTGTTCTAATCTGCACCATTTTATTTTATTTCTGCTTGGCTATTGATGCACACTGCAATAGAACATGAAAAGGTTTGCGAGAGCCGGGCTGGGTGATGCCTGTATCTTTCTTCTTCGGTAGTTACAGTTAATTTATAACCCAGTAACGTGCATGTCTCGTTCAGATTATTCCTTCCAACGTGCATTACTCAAAAATTAATTTTATCTTCCAGAAAGCTGCCCACAGAACCTACTATGGCTGTATATCACGTAAGAGAGGAAGGAAGACACTTATTTGGTCTCAGGGTTACCGCTTGTAACTAACTCCATGATCAAGGCATACAGCAACGGCACAGGCTGCCTGCAGATAAGAAAGAGTGGGGGGAGCTCCAAAGCTGTGCCATAGCAGCTTTACGGCAGGCGGTCCCTCTACTCCCTTTTGGGGCAAGCAGGGCTGGATGAAGGCAGACTCCATGGACGGGGCTGCAGCCTGGTAGCGGATGCAGTGACTCAGAGCCGCAGGCCAACAGGGCCTCAAGCTGCTGGGTGCTTGTTGATTTGACAGGGTCTGCACCCCAATTACAACCTTAATCCCGCACAAGTCTAAAGCAGGCGGGGGGCTGCTGTGCTGGGCTTTGTTTGGTTTCTGTTTTGGGGGGTGGTGGTATTGGTTTTGGGGGTTTTCTTCAGTAAATCTCTGTGTGCACTTGCAGAGCTGGATAAATAAAAAACATGTGCATTTATCTCCAATTAAACTTCTATGTAAATTTATATGCAAATGTAAGTGCAACCCTCGGGCTCCTTGGCGAGGAGCCAGTTCAGCCCCTGGTACTGCAGAAGTTACGCACCACCAATGCGACACACGTGAGACCTGCCATGCTGGAGTTCAGCCAGGGGAAAGCACGGATGGTCCCAGCCTGGAGAGAACCAAACTGGGGAGGGGCTGCAGGTTTCGAAACCCCCAAAGACGTTGCATCCACGCCATCAGAAAAAGCCAGCACGTCATTCAAATGCAAGGGAGAACGCAAATGAATGTGTCATTTTGTGAAGAGCAGATTTCTTTCAAGCTCTTCTCCCCTCCCCCTGGCTCTTCAACGCTTCTCCCAAGCCTGCACACTGGGAGCCAAAACCTTTTCATCGGCTCTGTATACAGGTGCAGTAACAGCAACCCCCCAAAAAACCCCAGGAAGACAAGCAGGCAGCTACAGGGGAAGAAGAAGAAGAAAGAAAAGAAAGAAAAAGACAGATTTGAAAAGCACATTAATCTGCTTGACAAGCCATGAACCACACTGCCGCTTTAATTAGAAGCAGAATCTGGGGAAGCAGAGGGAACATGGAGGTGCAAGCATTTATAACAAAAAAGGGACTTGTGATTTAATGACCTCCTCTGCTAGTTTAAAAATTAATGGGGCCAAATCAGATTAAAGCAATTTTAATACAAACCAGTCCAACATTTATCACTGGTGTTAACTGTAAGGTGGCTCCCCTATCATTTCAATAGAATAAGAAATTCTGCTCCTTCTTCATCCAGGCTGGCTCCGAAATTAATTCTTAAAGCTGCCTCGTATTTAAGGTGTTTCTGCTGTTATTCAGCGTGCACTGCTGACTGTAAGTCTCAACTCCCAGTTTTTCAGGATGACTCTTCCTCATCGCACTGCTCCAGGCACAGCCCAGGAAAGGAGATGGCGAAACCCCAGCTAGCACTCAAGACAGCAGCACCAGTGCAACTAGCTCTTGGCACACCTGCAGGTCAGAGCAGTTCTTTCTTCCTCCTCGCACCCCAATGACCATCACAACTGCTTCATGCTCAGAAGCAGAAGATCCTGGTCGACACAGCTGGAAGGACGTCAGCCAGCTGGATGCCATCCACCCAGCCTTGGGGTGACACCAAAGCCCCCTGTACACCGCTGGGCACTTCCTGGCATCAAAACCTGCCTTTGATTTATAGTTAGCAATTTCCCAACACCACCACTGAGAAGCGAGGAAGCGTAGAAAGCGGTATGCTCCTGACAGAAAAAAGTCTTTTTGAACGTGGCGTTTCTGCAATGCTTTGAAGGCAGAGTCAGCCTAGAGAGCTGCATGTGCCAAGAGCGTGGGCTTCCACATTAAACCTTCCTGGAGAGAAGGAAAAAAACACCCAAACAAACCCATCTTGCAAACACCAGTGGATGGCAAGGCAATGGCAGGACTGCAGCCACAGTGTGCCAGTGTTCTCACTCCTCTCCTCCTGCCTAGCTGCTTTGGTTGGGTTTCAAAGAGAAACATTATGAAAGTGAGCATCTGGATGTCTCTCTCTTCCACAAAAAAAGTATACCTGAATTATTCCTTAGAAATGTAATTTAGTAAATTGGGTGTACAAAATTCGGGATGGACAATTAAAATACCAAGAAAGTCAGCCAACTGAAAACAAAAGTTAATCTTCTTTGGAGAGGTATATAAACCCCACTATGGTTTAAAGGCTAATATCACAATTTTAACTCTTTCAAACCAAGTTACCAAGACTGTAGAAAGGAACTTAGTTTATAAACTCAGGTGATTTATTTCTCAAGCACATGAGATTCACATTTGCTTGCTCACCACTGAGAGATATGAACCATTTACAGAGAAATATTCTTAATTCAAAGTGTATCACAACTTGAGTTTTACTACTTACAGCTGCAGTGCTCATCAAAAACTGAGCTGCACAGAGGAGCTTTGAGCCACTGAATGAAAAGCAGATGAGATCAATCCAACACATTCCTGGGGTGTAAAAAGACACTTATGAGAAACAAAAACGAACACAACCCCAAATGTGCTATTTCACTCTGTCTCCTGTGCAAGTATCATTACACCTCAAATCAGAAGAGGAATGCCTCTCACTGTCCCAGCTGTGGCACAGGAGGGACACTGCTTCCCAGAGAGTGAGGGACCTAAACCTGCTCCCAGCACACCTGGACACCTCTGTGCAACTACCTGTGCTGCATCTGTAAAGCACCAAAAATCAAACCTACAAAAGCCTATTACACAGCAATAAGTAGTTAAGCTGCAGAGAAAGAGCCCATTACACCACTCCACTTAGCAGGTAAATGGTCTTATCTCTTCCACTGTTTCCCTGGAAAAACATGCAAAGCTGGGAGAGGAGGAATGCACAGGGAGATAATTTTTTGGCAGTGAAAACTGTCAGAAGGAAGTAGGTCTGAAAAGAAGGGTGAAAAGCCTTTCCTCAGTTGGACCTTGACAGCATGGAGG